CATGTATTCCTAATAGAAAATATATCTTCCTGCTTGTGTTGGTTAAAAACACAGTTGAGACTGGAATGAACATTGACAAAGAAAGGAGGAAAAGCCTTTGAGCAGCAGCATCCAACCTGCCTGACAAGTGACACACCTGCCTCCCCATGGCAAAGAGCCTGGAGACACGGATCACGCATCTCAGAGCTGTGCGTGGGGTGGCTCCTGGAACTGGCAGGCAGAGGATGACCCCTCCACTGGGACCCTCTGGCCTTGCTGTGGGATGTATGAGGGCCCTGGGGGAATCTGGCAATAGGGTTCAGTGACCTGTGCTTGCTTTCTGTGGTGGCGAGGCCCTGGGACACTGGTATGGCCTTGCTCCTGGCCATGTCAGCCAGTCTGGCACAGGGCTGCAAATGTTCCTGAGGGACAAAAGGGTGACTTGCTCAGAAAGCTCCAGATCATTAATCAGAAAGGGCAGAATAGCAGAAAAAGCCCATTTCATTTCAGTGCATAGGTACTTGCATGAGAAAGACTTCCAAATATTACGGCTCTTTCAGTATAGTGGAGAAGCAAAAGAAACAAACAGCAATTACTGGTAGGCAAGGATGGGTCTCATCTAGCTAGGTTCAGAGATGAAGATATTTCATCAGCAGCAGATGGTCGGTTCCCCATCCCCTATCACCCTTGCATCAAAGATGTTCTTCTACAAGCTTTTTCTGCAGTGAAATTCAAATAATTGGTTTCAATTATTTAGGTAGGAATTTACATGAAATATAAAGGCTTTCAGCATACAGGTCAGAGTAGATGGGTGCTAACACTGAAAACAAACAGAAGCAAACAGCCCTAGCATGTTGGCAGTGGGGTGGTATCAGCAAGCATCAGGGTTTGTTCTATGGCAATGAAAAGGTGGGGCTGATAAACACCTTTTTGACGTATGTCAATTGGCAAGCGCTACATTAAGGACTATGTGTGTTCTTTTGACTGTAAGGTTTCTTCCTCTGCTGTTTTGTAAAACATACCTGTCGTTTTTGTTTGCTTGAGTAATATTCTCAGTCAGCCTCAATACATAGCTGGGAAATTGCCATCTGCCTCCTTGACTGCTCAGAGAATGGTATCAGGGTCTCTGAATGCCACCTGCCATCTGCCAGGCAGGCTGTCACTCTCCCAAATCCTTACGGCTGGTTTAGGTCTAACAGCTGTATGACAGCAACACACACTGTCAGGGTAGCTTGTTGCTGACTGTTTGTTGCTATCAGGAACGAAACAGTTCCTATATGAACTATATTACAATGGATAACACAATGAATGTAGGTCATGTCGACTAGACTTCATTACTCAACAGCCTTTGCAATGATTCAGTGACTCCTTCCAAAATGAGAGGTGCGAATAACCTTATTTTCTGCATCTAAGACTAAAACTACAGTGCCAAGGAGATCCTAATAGAATTAGTCACATTTACTTTTTCCTATTACAAACAAGTAGCAACAGTGAAGGTAATTGCTCTGACAGTTATTTAAACTGCAAAATTAAAACCATCTATCTCCTACAATGTCCCTCCTGTTTCTAAATTGCTGTTAATAAATCATGTCATAATAGCTTATGGTTAATTTTTTATCCACTCAGTTTATTCATGCTCATCACCCTGACAGAGAAGTCCACAATTAAAAGAAAAAAATACATTTGTAAGGGGTCCTCTCATGGCTGAATTTTACACTGTCCAGTTTTAATGTGTCCACACCTTCTTGTGGCTGGTGGAGCTCCTTAACATAGCTTACTTTAAAAATCGGAGTTAGTTACCAGGGTACCATGCAGTGGGAATGCCAAAGTTGCAAAACTGCAGCTTTCATTTCTAGAAGGCTCAATTCATCAGCTTAAATACAGACACCCTTGAGATGTGCCAGAGCACCTGGCACCTGTATGGGGCTGGCAGGGGTGACACAGGGCTGACAGGGTCCTGACTCTCTTGGTGTGGCTGCTGAAACTGAGGCAGGAAAGGATGCTAGAAATCTCCAGAGACACCGTGCCTGTGTTTAGGCATGAGTCATGTCTCACATCCCTTCCTTTTAATACTTATCTTGCAAACGGAAGCCACCAAAAAATGGCAAACAAATGGCTTTATTCACTTAGGACAAACTTAGAATTCCAAGTTTGGAATAATTCTCTGTTATACTGGGGGTGGACTTGTTTGCTTTTATTTTATTGACCATAATGCCTGGTTGGAAAACACTTTGTATGCTGGGCCATTAGGGATAATAACTAAAATGATTGGAAACTGGAATATTCTGCCTCTTTTTCAGCTGAGACACCAAATTTATTACTTGCATACTGCTTCAGAGATGCAAGTGTTCTTATGTCTTATTAAAAATTTTACACTTGTTACCTCAGCTGAGACTTGTGATGAGTTCCGGTAACTTAACATTGATGGAACTGAAGTAAATTCTTGTGTATGCCATACATATACTGAAGTACACCTACACAGGGCTGAAACATGGACACAATCTTTGGGAACATCGTGCCTCTTTCATGTATTTTAAAGCTCAGTTATTTAAAAGAACTTGAAGGATGTTCTCATCAGGAAAGCCCCAAGATTACATGCTTCTCCTCTTGGTCCCTTCATTGTTTACAAAACAATCCTTTGCAAGATGCATTATCTGAACACCATCTATACATTTATAGGCACATAGAAGGGCTGTTACTATACAGACGTTTCAAGTTTAGAGTCCGACAAACCTACTGTGTCTACTGAATTTGGAGATTTCTACACCTAACTCCTTTCGACCTCACAGGGTGAAGGAAGTCTCAAGATGCTCCCAGGTCAGCTGAGTCACCTACAGCAGCAGTAATCAGTCCATTGCTTCAGTCAGTAGTCATGGTTACAGTAAAGGCAGAGTAATTTTTCTGGATAGTAACAGCAGAACTTGGTAGAATATACTAAAACTGTTGTATACAAAGAAAAGCATCAGAATCCAGATATTTTGGAATTACTTTTTTAAAAAAAAACAAACCATAATTGTTTGACCTTTTCACATCATGTAAAACATAAATGTAATGACCCTTTGATACTTCAGATGGGTTCTTTTTTTTTTTAACCACAAACACATAATAAATTTTTCATGGGTAGATGCTTGTTAACACCTACCACAGCTGCACAAGTCAGCCTCAGACCTAGAAAGAACAGCAAATATCCTGTGTAAGAGCAGACCAGGGAAACAAAAAGAATCTGCCACAGTGCTGAATGTCTGAACAAGAAAGTATTTCTGTCTTGTGCTGACTGTGGGCTTGTGGCCAGGGACCGAACAAGAATCGACTGTCACTGAATATTGGCCTGCCAGGGGAAGCAACAAATAGCAATTGTTGAGCTTTGTGATGAGATAATAAAGTCACGCTGCGGTAAGTAATACTTGTACTAAGGAAACATTTCTACAGGGATAGAAATGTCCATAGGCAACACAGACGTCCTTGTGATGCTTGTGAGCTTATCCCCAAGAAGACTCCTCAGGCAGATATGTCCTCTGGGTTACAGAATCACAGAATCTTAGAAGTTGGAAGGGACCTCGAAAGATCATCCAGTCCAGCCACTCTGCCAGAGCAGGATCACCTAGACCAGGTTGCAGAGGAACGTGTTCAGATGGGTTTTGAATGTCTCCAGAGAAGGAGACTCCACAACCTCTCTGGGCAGCCTGCTCCAGTGCTCTGTAACCCTTACAGTAAAAAAGTTTTTCCTCATATTCAGATTGAACCTCCTATGCTCCAGCTTGCTCCCACTGCCCCTTGTCCTGTCAACTTATACTTACTTTTTTACACTTACTTTTTTACCTTTGAGTTCTCAAACCATCTGGCCCATAGCAACCTTCCACCCCCTTCTTACATTATAGAGTCCTCCCTGGCAAAAGGTTTGGGCTGCTTTACAGTGAGAAGATGAAACTCAAGGGTGTCCCAGAGAATCTCAAGAAGTGGTTTCAATAAAAACCAAAGAATTTGCTGGGATTAATTCAAGTCACAAACATCACAGAGAACAACAGTAAAATACATAAAGAGTAATCTTGGATTCTTGAGAGACAGAAAGTTAAAAAACAATTACATAGTTTCACAAAAGTAAAAATCCATCAAACTTTTCATCAAAACAATTTCTGCTATTTCAAAAATGTCCCCAAAGCACCTTGCTTACAGCAAAGCAGCCACTCAGATTTTCAGGTGGATTGATTCTACTTGTGGTAATTTTGAAGGCAGCAGAAGTGCAGAAAAGTGCAGAAAAGCTTGATGCAAGACTGCAAACAGAGAAAATAATGACAGACTTTAAATCTCTAAGGATGTGCAGTCAAAAACTTTGTTTCATTGTAGAAAACAGGGACCAGATTGAGTTCAGAGAGCAAAAAGCATGCAGAAATATGCACATTTGGAGCTGTAGTGTTATATCATGTGCAGCTCCTCACTGAGAGCTCAGTTTCTCAGAGAAAGGTACACTTTAGAGCTGGTTGGAAATTTTTTGGTTGAAAGCATTTTTTTCAGTAAAATCTGTTACTTTTTTTCAAATTAGCATGTTCAGGAAGATATTAATTTTGATGAAAGCTTCATTTTAAAATGAGACATGTTGATATAGCTGAAAAGTTCCATTTTAAAATTCATGTAATGGAACTTTTCCTTTCAACAATGTTTTGCTTTCAGTGAAAACTTCATTTAATAATGACATTTTTTTAAAAAGTTTTAAAACCTAAATCAATTTAACCAAATAAAATACCTCATTTGACCCAGCTGATTAATTTGATATTTCTTCCAGAAGAATTTGAGTTATTAAAAAAAAATCACTTCTGAAATTTCAAAGCAGTCAAAATTTTGAAAGATGCAGCACTAAACAGAATGCAGCAACCCAGTTTCACCCAGCTTTCCAGTGCCAGTCTTGACCATGAAAGAGGAATTGCCTTTGTGCGCTGCAGTGCTTCCCACAGCCACCATAAACCATAGCAACATGTGCTGTAACACCACAGTGCCCCTTTCATCCTCATAAAATAAGTGCTTACTGGCTCCTCTGCTGCCAAACTGGTAGTCCCTATGGCTGGTTTCCGAATATCCTCAGCAAGACTGTAAGATTTGCTCTGAAGGTTTAAAAAACACAATACATCAAACACTCATGAGAAAGAACAAACTGCAGCTGCAAAGCTCTCATAAGGACACAGAATTTTCAAGCTGGTCCAGAAGTGGTTCTCTGAAACAGATACAGGCATTTCTCCAAGATTACCTGTAATTTCCTAGGGACAAACACAGAACAATGTAATTCCCAGTTGAGTCAAGGTTTGAATCAAGGGATTCTCTTCCAACATGAGCTCACACCTCTTTTGAAGCCTAGAGCACAACTCCAGTGTACTTCACCTACATCCAGGCTACCTTGCCTTGCATGGAGCTCGTTCAACTGCCAAACGTGTCTGAGAGGCAGTGCTGTGATCTCCTCACCATAGATAGACCTCAGCTGGCTGGTTTAAACCTAAATGCGATATGCTTGCTCTACACTGCATTCAGTGTGGTGTTCAGCGAAGGGCTCTCCAGGGTCAGGAACTACAGGAGATACCTGCCAACCACCCTGTGATGCGTGCTTGTGTAGACACACGGGGCTGTGTTGCAGGAGCTTTCTTGGCCTTGTTTCCTAAGCAAAGATTGGTTGCTGAACTGCTCACTTTTCTCCCCTTAGCAAGCAGCCAGGCTAGAAAAGGAGGGTGTGGAGATGGAATCATCCACCCTTGCACAGGGAGACAAAAAGCTCCTTGGGTCAGTAGCTGGAGCTTTGCACAAATGGTACAAATTTGCTCAGTCTGGCAAAGAAAACGTCCTGGAGAGATGGTCCAAAAGCAGCAGATGCTCGGCATCTCTCAAGGCCTTGCTGAATATGAATTAAAAAAATACTCACATAATAATATGAATCTTAGAGAAACTAATGTAACATTAGCTTGTATCAGCAAACAGGCTGTCTTCTATTGACACATGCTGAAAAACTACAGGTTTTCAGAATTCAAGGAGAAAATATGCTGCAGAATAAACACTGCCTTTTACCCGTTAGTTTTAAAACTGGAGCTAAAAACTCCCAACTTCTTCAGCACAAGCTACCTAATTTTCAGAAGCACTAATCATTCACAGCTACCACACAAACTTTTGACAATCAGGTTGTTTTGAGGTTAAATATCTTTAGCAGATATAGATATTTACTATTAAACATCTAAATGTTAGCCAAAATTGTCTCAGTCAAAACTCATGATACTTTGACATAGTAAATCCTGACACTTGGAGTTTAATCAGGCCCTTCTGTGAGCACCACACTTTGAGACTACTCCTGACCCTACTGTTCAGTGATAAACTTAGACAAATGTTGATAGAGTTGGCCTTTGGGACAGGAAGTTTTTCATTCATCTTTAGGGAATTATTTTAGTGTTCAGAATGTTCCAACACAAATTTGCTAAACTAATATTAGTTTTCCCATGACATCCTACACGTCATTTTTTTCCTTAAAATTAAAGTGCTGCCCTTTTAAACTAAGCCATAATGAACATTAAACCAATCAGAACCTGTGTGTTATATTTTCATTATTAATATACTGCAGTTAAGTGACATTACCAGCTACATACAACTTCCCACTCACAATTAAAGTAGACTCAGAGGTTAAATTTTTGTTTGCAGCTTTATTAATATGATTTAAAGTGAAAATGCATAAAAATAAAAACAGGAAAGTGCTGCATTTTGACAATCCAAATTAAATAACTACTTACATGTGAACTGCCCATTTTTGCTCAGTCTGAGTGTGGAGGATGCAGCTCTTGTGCTCTGCAATGAAACAAGCATTCAGATGGAATAGTCAGCTTTTACTACAGCAGGTAAATCCTACCCAACCCTGGGTTAATCAATAACTTCTGACATTATTTAAATTCTAGTCATTTCAAGGTGGGGCGTATTCATCATTACATGGTGGCTTTATTATCCCTACTATCACATCCTGTTGGGTCATGAAGCTGGCTGGTTTCTCCAAAGAAAATCAGGATTTCACAATATAAGCTTAGAGATTATACATACTCATTTATCTAATTGTTATCATAATAATTTAAAACACATAGTGATGGTAGCAACCAACATGAGCTTTGCAAACATTTTAGAAGGAAGGATGACTCCTTTTAAGAGTTTATATCAGATCTTATGGGATTTAGTGGTATTTAATTTGTGATTGAGAATCCTCACCTCCTACAAAATACTTTTATCAGAAACTCATTGCTCTTATTTGGTTTATGTGGCAAGGTTTTGGTAGTGGGGGGGTTGCAGGGATGGCTTCTGTGAGAAGGGACCAGGCGTTGCCCCCATGCTGGACAGCCAGTGCCGGCTGACTCCAGAATAGACCCACCACTGGACAAAGCTGAGCCCCAGCAGAGACACTGGTGGTGCCTCCGTGATAACATATTTAAGAAAGAGTAAAAAATACTGCACAGCAGCTGTGAGAGAGGAATGAGAAAAATGTAAGAAAGACCCCTGCAGACACCAAGGTCAGTGAGGAAGGAGAGGGAGGAGGTGCTCACTCAAAGTTTTGTGGACTGACTGCAACCTCCATTCTCCATCCCCCTGAGCTGCTCAAGCGGAGGAGGTAGAAAAATTTGGAATTAATTTGAAAGAATGAAGTTGAGCCGGGGAAGAATCTGTGGGAGGAAGGTGTTTTCAGTTTTGTCTTTGTTTCTCACTATTCTACTCTATTTTTAATTGCCAATAAAGTAAATTAATTTCCCCAAGTCAAGCTGGTTTTGCCCGTGGCAGGAACTGGTGAACAATCTCCCTGTCTTTATCTCAACCCATGAGCTTTTTCATCTTATCTTCTCCCTCTGTCCTTTTGAGGAGGGGCAGTGAGAAAGCAGCTGGGTGGGCATCTGGCAGCCAGCCAAGGTCCTGCTTTAGACTTCAGGTAGGACACCCAGAGAAAAATAAATGAAGAAAACAAGTATATTTGAATTTATAGCAGTTTAGCAGAAAACAAAAATATCTATGTGATTATCAAAACAGTAAGTAAATCACTGTGTTACTGGAAGTGCATTTTGGTTTTACATGGTTTGACAGACAGTACTTTCCTGCAAAGACCTTATCACCATTCAAACACACTTAAAAATAAACGATCAGCTTTGATTATGGTGTTCAAACACATGCAATGTAAATATTAAATGCAAGTATGAAGAATTTTATCCAGAATTCAATGCTTTTTGGTAACATACTGTCTCAAAGACATCTTCAAAGCCTTTACTGAGCTGGGAACTACTCACTTCTTTCATAATATTTTTGGGAATAAAGCCGTCTCAACTCACATTAAAGGAAATACTGAAGTTGAAGAGAAAGCAACTGCAGAATTTCTCTGGAATCTGTCAGGTCAGAGGGCACTCATAATCTCAAATACAGACTGGTAACCCTACTGCTTTTAGTGGCTGTGAGTGAAATACAGCAGCCAAGAAGGCACAACTCATTAAGGAGTTAAAACAGACAGCAGATTGAGTCATACTATATCATGTTGTGCATGCAAATGATCCATCTAAACACACAAATAGGGTATCAGTAGGAAAACTACGTGCTACTCCCACTGATCAATTTGGTTGACATAGCTTATATACTGGGAATTTAAAAGTTTGGATAATCAACAAAAATTAAGGATTCTATGGTACTTTTCAGCTTTGTAAATAACAGGACTGACTCCCTGCAGAAGAGCTGAGGACTGTACTCCTGTAGGCGAGATAGCCCAGGCAATGAAATAGAGGCATCACTTGGTATCCAGTGAATGCAGTCTGCCTTCACCAATTTCTTCCTCATTTTGCTAGCAGGATGGAAACTGAGGGGTGGGTATTATGCCATGGCAAGATCAAGCAGGCTGGATGCAGAGGACAGGAAGGCACTAAGGGCTTATCAAAAGGTACCTATAAATGTTCTCCTTTGAAAGGTGTAGTGGAGAGAATTTGAAAAGGTGAAAATGAGATGAAATATTATCCCAGGTAAAGAACACCATACACTGCAGTGGATAACTTGACTGACAACACTGCCACTCTGGAGATCATTGCTAGGACCACCAAGCGAGTCTTTGCTCTAAATGTAGCCACAGAATTGGTAAAAGCCGAAGGGCCTTAACTGAGGCTAAATGGAAGAGGCAATTAAAATCTTCAGCCAAGTGAAGTGAAATAATGAAAGACCAAGGTGGTAACAGGTAAGAAGGAAGTGAAGCTGAGCTTTGCACTTTTTGCAGAGGATATTTGTGGTAGCAGCATGCCCATATCACTGGGCAGCAGGATGGCGTTTCCTCTGTCTGCAAGAAGAGGCAGAGCTTTTGCTGGAGTGACAGGCACCAGGATTTCTGTGTGACAGAGGAACATGGCCTTTGGAATATACCAGAGTCAACAGAATTAATGCCTTCACCAACCTTGACCGCAGCATTGGTATGAGCCATGAAACGGCTCTTACAGTGGTAGTTGTGCCTGGCATTACTGTTCAAGTCTGCTGACCTCTGGTGAACCTGTGTGAGAATCTGCAGAAAGTAAAGACAACCACAAGAATTCAGACCAGTATTGGGAGATTTATCCAGACCAGACAAAAAGGGCAGTGGGTTGACCAGCGACTGATCAGGCACTATCAGGGATCAAAAGATTTTCAGACAGGTTTACCAAGACATTCACTAACAGGGATAAGCTGCAGGAAGGATGTAAGCTTTCAAATGTTCACCTTGGAAAGGAATTTAAGAGTTTCAAAACTGGGGTGGACACCCTAAATAAACAATTCAACCTACCAACAAACTCGGCTAAAACCAGACATTTGCAATGAATTTGTGTCCAGCTGGAAGTCAGCGTCCTTGAAGGAAGTCACTGTCCCATTCCTGGATATGCAGAACCCATTATTTCTGAGGAAAGAATTCCCTGGAAACTATTTGGTCTTGAGATCCGATCAACAGTTGTCAATTTGAATAAGCAGCTCTGAGGAGAAAGAGACAAGAGTCATCTTGGAGAGCAGATATTCTTCATGCATTGGTGAAGGTCGCAGGCAGCTGATCAGGCCAGCCAGGACTAAAAGGAATGAGAAAAAAGGATCTCATTGCAACTTTCCAGTGCAGATGCTCAGTTCAGAGGAGAGCTGCACTGCTTCAGCTCAGCTCCCTTCCAGAGCACTGTATTTTACTCTGTAAATATGCCTCAGCTACCTGGCAGTGGGAAAAGCAAACTGGCAGGCCCCAACCAGTCCATCGAGCTTGTCGAGCACACTGGAATCAACTTCTGTCTCAGAAAACAGAGGCAGTCACTAGAGGAAGCCAAGCTGCTACTTCTGATTTTAAATAAGGAAGAACTGGCTGAAAATTCAGAAGGGGATGGTAGCTTGTTTGAAAGTGGCAATGACACATAGAAATAACTTATTTCAAGGAAAAAGCCCAAAAGATTCAGAATAAGGAATAAAAGACTTCTGAAAAGTCGATGAACCAAAAGGTAATGTCTTTTGAGAGGGTAATCTCAAGAATGACAGCTGCTGAGAATAACTGGAAGCAAATATATTAAAACCCAAGAAGGAAATTTTCTCTATAGGAAGAAAAGATTGGAAGTATAGTAAGAAAAATGTCTCCCCAAAAAAGTCTGCAACAAGTGCTCCTTAAGAAAATGGAACTCCAGAAGACAATAAACCTTAAGTGATGCTGAAAGCCGATACAAAGAACAAGAGCACATTTAGAAATGGACAGAATGAGTTATGAGCAGCAAGAGACATCAAAGGCATAAAGAAAATGGCCTAAAAATATCTCAGAAGTAAGGGATAAGCAAAGGTAAGCGGAGATTCATTACAGAATGTGGAAGGAGAGCAGCTAATGGATGATGCACACCAAGCTAAAGTGCTCAATCCTCGTTTAGCTTGTCCTCACAACAGAAGATTATTCCCACCAGAAATGAATACATTTAAGTAAGTGGTCATGTGTACCAACCAGAATAGAAAAAAAATTATATTTATGAATATTCATGTATATATTTAGCTGCATAGGTCTACCGACTGTCATGCTAGGGGTAGCAGTATCTGAACCATGGTTGATAACCTCTGAGCACTAATACAAGTCAGGGAAAGCTGCAAATGATTGGAGAAGGCACATAGTGCCCGTGTTTCAGGATAAATCTGCTTATTGCTGCAACTGCCTGGGTCAGCTCAAGAAAGTGTAAACTGCACATCATCTCACACATACATAACCATCCTGAGGAGCAGAGCTGGGAGGGACTGGATGTGGTGTTAATGATATTCTAAGGTTTGGGGAAAAGGATCAGTGACCTGATCCTCACTGCTTACTGTATTTTACATTTATGATGTAAACCAACGTGATTATAACTTCAGAGTTCAATGACCTCAACTGAAGGTGCAGGAGTTCAGAGTGCTTTATTTGTGACCTTTGTTTAGAAAGTGAATTGGAATCAGTTGTCTGCAAATTCTCAAACTCATTAATAAACACAGAACAATTTTGTTGCATGGTACCCTTTCTGGTAATAAATTAAAATCCTGTTAAAAATCAAGTATTTCCACTATTGGCTTCTAGTCACAGCTGTCCTCAATTATTCTGCCTCTCTGAAGATCTACTCCATGTCAATAGTCTCCTTCTAAATGTCTTGGGTTTTCTTCCCTTTAGCCAGTGCTATCACTGAAAAGTCTGAGACAGCCAACAGGAATATAATGGAATAGCAATACTGCATACATTACTGTTACCTTGAGTACCTGCATTTTTAGCTTGTGGATTCTCATATCTGTGTCTTAATAAAAGTATTATTGAGGTGCTGGTGCCACTAACAAGATAACTCACCTCAGAACCATCCAAGAAAAAAATTGTCCTGCCCTACTGAGAGGTGTGTCTGATTACTGATATCAAAACCAAACAGACGGTACCAGCCAAAGACCTGTACCATCTGGTTTATGTGGCAATGGGCAAGGCAAAAGGGGTTTCTTATTAATGTCTTTTCATAGTTTATTTATAAACCAATGTAGGGTGTCACAGAGAAAGACTCATAAGAAACCTGACTACTGAGGTTAAAAGAATTAAGGATGAGGTCAGGTTGTCAGGCTCTGTCTGCATTCCTGGACTGAATCCTGCTAGTGATACGAGCAGGGAGGCCTTGTCTGACTCTGGAGATCGTGTGAGCTACTCACCATCCCCTCAGCTGCACACATCTCTGTGTGTCGGGAATATGGGGCATGTCTGCAGGCTGAGGCTTTGTGTCTCTGCAGTTATGCAGAAGTGGGTTCCTGAAGATGCCAGTGATGCCAAAGAACTGGATCTGTAGTTCTCTGGAGACCCACTTGAATATAACACAGCACTGAGTTTCTATTGCTGTTGGTTGCCTTTCAGCTCTGTCACCACTGCTCCAAGGTTATTACTGAGCATGTAGAAGAACAGCCTAGTAATTAGACTGCACAAGTGATCAGGGTCTCACTTGCTATGTTTGTTCTACTTATATGTCAAATCACTCACTAAAATGTTGTGTAGTGTCAGTAACACAGAACCTCTCCTCTGTCTGTAATTACCTGACAATAAGAAAATGCCTCTGCATGGAAGTTGGCACCGATCTTGACATTGGTAAGACTTTAAATGACCCACAGAAAAGGAGGGGCATCTGCTGCTATTTATTCGAAGCAGCTTCCTTGACGATGGTAATCGACTTGCTCAACATATGAACGGGACAGGCTGCTGTGGGTATCCAGGTCTGCAAACTTTCAGTCCTCATGTTGCGCACACCGCACAGACTCAGCCATCGTTACATGAAATGATCTTGCTCACTCCTTGTTGTGAAACGCTTATTTCTGCTCCTGCACCTGCCCCTGCTTTGAGCAGTCACCAGCATCCGCCCGGGTGTATTGTGAATAAATTGTGCATTAGGAAAACTACCGTTAAGAGTAACGGGGGAGGTATTTTAAGCTGGGTCCTGTTCCCAACCAGTGCCAGCGCCGCGCTGCTGTACGGAGAAGCAGCCGAGGTGAGGGATAACCTTCCTCCGCGGCACAAGCGCCTGCATCTGGAAGTTTGCGTGGC